AGGTTGTTTTGAAGTTGTTGAATTCGTATACGAGTAGATGTGCCTAGTAGGTCAGGATTGTTAAGTCGTTTAAGAAGGTTGGGAATATGGTGTTGTAATTGAATATCCCAGATATGTTTAATATTGTAGATTTGAGGGTGTAATAGGGTACTAGATGGTATTGTGCGACAAAGTTTAGCTTTGAGCTTAACAAGGCCAATGTGTTGAGTAAAAATTTTGTTGCAGGTAGGTTGGTTAATAACAATATTATGTAGGCGGTATTCGATAGTGGGGATGATAACTGTATTGATAATGTAGCGAGCATGTGAATCAGTTATCTTATTAATTAATTAGCTTGATTTAAATATTATTTATTATTATGTAGCTTTACAGATTTGCAAGAATTTATAGTTTTTATGTTCAAGTTATTAGTATACTATATGTATATACTTAATTACATAACTAATTCAATTTACTATAATACTTATAATATTAATTGGATAGCTATTAGAAATATGAAATTATAAAATATGGAAATAATTTTGTATTTGAATATTATTAACATTATTATATAACTACATAGTTTTGGAGACTGTAAAGTTTATATAACAGTGTTGCATTTGTAATTACTATGCGTGAATATAAAGGTGTGAATTGATGCTATTACTTTATATAATAAAACTTTCAATATATCTGAATTATATTATTTATTAAATTTAAGAATTAAATTTATAACACTACAGTATTAGTAAGATTAATTTAGCTGGATTAAAATAGCTAAGTAGAGTTTATATATATTTATAACTATTTATATTTGTTCTTTATAAAAATTATTATACTTCATTTTTATTTATTTTTTTTTTACTAATTTATTTTATATTTTTTTTATTAATTTTATTTATATTTTTTTTATTAATTTTATTTATTTTTTTTTTACTAATTTTATTTATTTTTTTTTACTAATTTTATTTATTTATTTTTTTACTACTTTATTTTTTTGCTTTTTTACTACTTTTATTTTTTTGCTTTTTTACTAATTTTATTTGTTTTTTTTAACTAATTTTATATTTTGGTTTGATGAAGGCCAGAAATGTGACAGATGAATTTGGCAAGATAATGTACATATAAATGTAAAAATATTTTATTAGAGTTATATTACATTTTAATGCTTTACCGACAACTTTAAAGTGTAATATAACTTAGTAATACAAAGAATTTTGCATTTATAAATTATACACATCAGTCTCTATTTTGGTAGATGAGTGATGAAATATGCGATGTATTATAACACAAGCCAAGTAATTTAAGTGAATTAGCATATAAAAAAGGTAATTTTAAATATAAAAATTAATTTTCTGATTGAATTTAAGATCGAAGAGATAAATATGAAACATCTCAATATGAAAGACATGATGCTTAAAGTAATTGTTATTACTTTGACAATAGTTGCTCATAAGCAGAATTATGAATTAAGTAAGGCAGCCGAAGAAGTGTTGATGATATATAGCATGATTCACAGTATTTCCAATTCTATTTGTTTTAAAATTCTCAATTTCAATACTTAGCTTATTTTTTATATAGAATAATTGAGAATACTTAATACAAATGCTATATATCTTATAGTATTAAGGCTTTCCTGAACACTACGTTCCATGTATAAGTATCTTCTTTTTCATGAATTCTTCCATTAATGACCAAGACTTTCAGATTATGCATTTCACACACCCTTGACATAGCAATGTATAATTGTCTATGCAAGAAAACAGGGTGTGGAAGATAAAGGCCAATATAAGGTAGCGTTTGCTCTTGGAACTTATTAATTGTTAGGGCAAATGCTAAACGTATTGGAAATTGCTTTCTTTCCAAATTAAAAGGTAACTCAGAATCTTCGGATAGTAGAAGAGGAATTCTAGGAATAAATACACATTTACCTTTATGAGTTCCAGTAACTATTTCAGCATCAATGGTATATACTTGCAAGCAGTGGCAAATAAGGCTTGTCCCATTGCATAATCCATTAACAGGGTCTAAGTTTCTGAGTAACATAATGGGAACACCAACTTTTAAGGTGAGTTTATGTGGAGGAAGACCTTGGGGTGTTAAGGAATTGAGATATTCATTTGGGTAGAGGTCCATATCATCATCAGGTACAGAATCGAAACTATAATAAGTATGTTGTTCTCCAAGAAATTTCTTTACAATTTGCTTATTAATTTCATCGACATCACAGTTTAATGGCACTAGTATTGCTCTTTCCATAATAAAAACAGTGTTGATTGCATTTTCAGTTATATTAGGATAAATTGTATTCAATAATGAACTAATATAATCTTCACCATTTTGAGAGTGAATTATTATCTCTTCAGGAAGTCAAATTAAGCTATTTTCTATCATGGGTTCAGTGCCATTATCTATTCTAAGTAGATATTTTGCGAATTTCTCTGCTTCTTGACCATTATCTTGCACAACTTGCATATTAGTAGTTAATGTAAATCTGTGAACATGGTTTCATAAGTGTGATTTATTAAGAGCTGCATTAACTATTTGAGCCTGAGTGCCTTTGTGTACTACAGGTAGTATCTGTCTAAAATCTCCTCCAAATAAGACTATTTTATCACCAAATAGAAAGTCATTCTCCATAATATCTTTTAATGTTCTATCCACAGCCTCAGATGCATGACGATGTGTTATTGGGACCTCGTTCCAAATAATAAGTACAGTTTGTTGAAGTAAATTAGCTAGTTCAGTTTCTTTTTCAATTCTGCAAGTCATATTTCCATCTATCATAGCAATTGGTATTTTAAAGCGAGAGTGTGCTGTGCGACCACCATGCAAAAGTAATGCAGTGATGCCAGAAAAGGCTACAGCTAATGCAATTTGTTGATTTACTCGTATATAATTAAATATACAATCATAAAGATAGGTTTTACCAGTTCTGGCAGAACCATCTACAAACAACAAACCTCCCTTATGTTCATTTATAAGATTTATTACCTTATTGTAAATCGAATGCTAACCTTCGTTTAAAGTATCTGCTTTGGCCAGGTCTTCTGGAAAAATCTGGTAATTTAATTCCTCAAGATGTATTCTTGACAATTTCCCAACATTGAAATGTAATAATTCCAGTAAATCAAAATCACTAACACTTTTTGAATACCTTTGCAATATCGAATTTAGGCTTTGAAGAACAGCCTGCACTTTAAATTGACCATCTAAAACTCTATTGTATATAAAATCCTCAGCCATTGCATTGAAATTTTCATTCCATAATTGAGATACGTTCACAATGTTTCCAAAAATTAATAAGGTCGCAAAAAGATTGCGTAATTGGTTAGGCATCTGAAATTCTCTAGCTTCAGATATGCAAAACTGATATTCATTATTATTTTCAAGAAACCCTCTATGTTGTATGCTCTCTTTGAAGGTGGAATATATAATGCCATCAACAGTTTTAAGCTCTTCAAAATTTCTAGCTCCTTTTACTTTCATTAATAATAGTCGAAGATAATACCTTTCACCTAATGGTAAGTATAAATGTCATCGATAATAATTCAATTTGATGTATTATTCTCACATACTAATTCTTTAAATTTAACATTCACAAATAAATAAATAATAGAATTTAATAATTTAATATTAAAACTTTAGAAAGCACCAAAAAAATAATCATGTACTTTTACAGTACTTATTTGTTACTAACTGAAACAATACTACTTACCTTTACAGGTATAGAAAAATTCCAGATTGCCAGGTAATATTTTAATACTCAGATAAGAATTTTATTAATATGTACATCTTCTAATCTTTAGAATATTTATTATTTACTAATTGAAACAAAATTACTTACCTTTATTAGAATAGAAATAATTCGAATAATCACATAATATAATGATATTTAAGAATTTACTAATATGTATATTTTCCAACCCTTTGGAGTATTTACTTGTTATTAACTAAACAAATATTAATTACCTTCATCAGGATGGGCCATGTAAATTCTTCCAATGCAACCTCCACGCTGTCATTTTTTCCATGCTTTAGTTGATTTATCCCATGTATAATACAAAGGAAAATCCACATAAAGTATGTTTCTTGCTTCTAGATCTTGAGCATTCATCTTAAAGTACTCCGTAAGAGTCGTACATTAATTACGCTCTGATGTGACCACTTCTACTAAGTTGCTATTTTTGTCAAAAAACATTCGTTGCTGGTTAGATAAATGCACTTGTAAGTGCATAACAGCCAGATTCATTCCATTCATTTTGAATCCTAGAATTCTCCAAGCTGCTTCAGGAGCTGAAACCCATCGTGCTTTAACATAGTTTCTAATTTCATCAATTATAACTGGTCGCTTTTGTGATTCACGATTTTGGGACTCTTCGGTGATTTCTATCATTGCTCTGTCGTGTCCTTTGTACACATATTTAAATAAGTATTTAACCGCCTTAATGCTAGCACAAATTTCCACATTTATATGACAATTGTACTTGGCACAAAGGAAGGTATTGTATGAAACAATCCAGCAGTTATCTACTTGTATTACTTTGTTTCCTACTTTAACTTTAAGATAGTGATAGTCTTGATGATGATGGTAAATTGGATAAGAATTTTTTCCTTGAATTGTTTCACTCTGAAACTGTTTAGAATATTGTTTGCTACATCATTTATTTCCTGTTCCATCATCAATCATACATGATGCATTATAATTATGCTCTCCACACAGCCCGTGAATCATGTTAGAAACTACTGTAGCATATGTCTTAGGATTAATGCTTTGGTGAGGTATTTCAGTACACACAATAGCATCATAATTGTCGGGAGATTTTGGTTTGTCATCTGGGTGCAGTATTATTAAAAAATAAGTATAGAGGAGTTCACGCTTTTGAAATTCAATGACATATATGTGTCCAATAACACGTCCGAAAATTCCACATTCAAAAAGATCTTTCTTTAACTCTTGCAGTTTCTCCCTAAAAATAAGTACTAAAACAGTGAAAATGATTAATTAATTAAATATAAAAGTAAAACAGAAAAATTATTAGAAGAAAACTAAAATTCTCAGTTAAGTATACCATTTTTTTATTTTTTATTTTTATTTTTATTTTTGTTATAATTTTTTTATTTATTATTTACTTTATTTTATTTTTATTTTATAAGCTTATTGAAAGTTTAGTTTTAATTTTTAATTGCCTGATTTTATATAATATAAAGTGAAAAGTTTTATTTAAAAATAAATAATGCAAGCATACTTGTAATATCAGGTCGATTCTGAGCAGTCTGTCCAGACAGTAAAAGTGCTTGAATTTCCGGTCAGGTTGGATTACATGTCATAGTAATAAACAGGTCTGGTTTCCTGACACGTAGCAAGGACATCGCATCTTGATACCTTTGTATCATATCTCGGGGTCCTTTTATAAAAGTTGAGGCGAAAACTATTTTTCGACCAATGCGCTCTAGATTGGTGTCACCATGCAGAACTGTGTCCTGAAGGCCTTGGTAAAGTTCACTTCTGATTTTTTTTGATTTTGGCGGTGGAAATTCAACTGATCTGCTTCAATTTTAACATACATATCAACTAAATATTGCTGGAAGAGCCTTCCTGTCCGTAATATTATATTTGTATGATGAGGCCTAATTTGGAGCTGATATGCATAATATTCCATTGCGCTTATGTATTTTCTATGTCGAGTTGCATTGGGATATTTATTAGACTCTATATCATTATAGCCAATAGAATCAAAATCAGGATTAGTTTGTTCGAGCTCAATATCGATATTTCTATATGGGATTCGGTATGGTGCCCATTCTTGTTTGCCGAAAGGGAACAGAAGTGGATATGACAAAGGATCATAACATTCACTAAATTCAGAAATTCGTATCAGTTAATCCATTGACATATATAATATGATGTCACGCTTTTGAACCATTTCATTAGGCACATCATTATCAATCCAAATAGCAGCAACCTGAGAAGCAGTTGGTGCATTATGAGTTCTCTGATCAAGGCCAGAAATGTTAGTATGAAGTTGTACTGTTAAATTTTTAATATTTTCTACAGGTAAAGATGAAATATGATGAAAAGTAGCGACATAGGGATTAACTTGATCAAGCCTAGCTTTTAAAGCTTGTATTGTCTTCATATTAAGGTTGGAATTAGAAATGGCGTTTGTTTGATAGTACAACTCATTTAGTGTATCCTATATATATATTTGCAGATAACATGGTTTAGAGCCAGGTTCTGGTATTAGAAACCCAATGCGATGGTGAAACAAACCTTGAACACGATACATATAGACATTATTCATTGCATTAGCGAGGTTGCGATCCAAGTTAGCACCTACAGAAGTAAAGGTAAATGCTGAGTTATAAAGACATATTTTATAAAGAAAATCCCTAGTAATATTATTTGATTAGTAAAGAGTCATTGTAAAAGTAATGGAATAACCAGCTCTGCTAATGCGACTTTTCCATTCGAGCAGCACATTTTATGAATTTCCATAGGTAACTTTAATGCATTGCAATAGGTACAGTTAGCATAATTAACAACATCGACTTTGTGTGGAATAGGGTAGCTGCTTTTATCTTTTGAAAAACCATAGACAAGATTACGTAGTTGAGAACTATTAGCATGATGTTTATGGCTTGTATTTTGAATTTCTTCAGTTCTTTCAAAGCATTATTTACAATTTGTATCTTGTTTTCGCTGTTCACGTTGTTCTTCAAGTTTGGCTTTTCAACGTTGTTGTTGGGCATTATTATTATTTTCAAGTCTCTGCTGACATTGTGTTTCAGTTTCCAAGTTTTTGCTTTTCTGCTTTCTAGCGGCATCAGCTTCTTTTTGTTCTTGTTTTGTAAAATAACGTACTTTACGTGGCATATTGAATCAGCAATAAAACAAAAGGATTAAGCGTAGCTAAATAGTTGAATAAATTGAAAATTTTCAAGAGGTGAAAAAGTATTGTATAACTATATGCGGTTGCAGAGTCATATTTTTTTTTTTATATATAAATGCTACCAGTACAGATTCTGTATATGCATTAGTGCTTTAGAATATAACTGTAGATATTAGTCTAGAACTGGGTTTATATTACAAGCACTATATTTTATACTTTTTTTATAAGGCGTAATGATATTATTTGTATAGCTGTATATAGTATTCTGTAGTGTCAGTAACTGAATGCTCTTTTTTTTTATTAAATTATAATCATTTTCTAAATAGTGTTTTTTAATGAATTCATCAAATAATTATAAAGAGCACATTTTTACTATCGTTATAAATACATGTAACATGTTTATAATAAATATTAAAATATCAAATCTATTATATAAATATTAAATTATATTAAATTACGTACTAAACTCTTAGGTGACACAGATTAATAAAAAAGGAATATTTTTAGAGGACATTTAAAGCAGAGGGAAATTATATAATTAATATTTATTGAATTAACTTTAGGGTTAGAGTCATCTTAGATTAGGGTAAGGTAGGTTTTAAGTAGTTATATATATGCAAATTGCCTTCCTGATATTTTTGCTTAACCTACCTAAGGTAGTTTTAGAATGCTGTTTTTTATAGTTTTTAGATTTTTCATTTTTTTTCTTATATTACTTTGTTGGCGATCGTCAAAATTCTATAATTGGATTGGCCAATAGTTCTATGATTTTTTTTTGCATAAACCAAAACATAGGTAACACACAGCATTGACTTTGGTGTACTGGTTTCATAACACAAATTAGGTTTAATTGAAGCAGTTGTGTTACTTTAAACCAATCAACCAATCAAATTGCTTTTATTCTGGAACTTTAGTTAAAATTTTAGTAGTATAGATGTACAACTTTTTAACTTCACTACCTACATATATAAATAAATTTTGCATAGTAAAATTTAAGATATAACCAAAGTATTGAATTAATTGTTATAAACAATCAAATTGAACTTTATTTTGTACTACAGATTTTGAAAACTTATTTAAAAATTTAATATTAGCTGCTG